TTTTAAGATATCTCATTGTGATAATACAACAAATGTTAGATTTTTCATAATTCGTTTTCACTTCGATATAGAAAATTATCAATAGAAGATGGTTAGAAAGAAACATTGAAGGAAGAATTTAATTTTTTTTAATGATTTTAAGAAACTTTTACATTCTGCAATTTAATTGTAGAAACTACTTTGACTAGAACTAGACTCAGTGATTAAGAAATTATTTGTTAAGAATGTTCATATTTATGCAAGAAGCATAATTCTTTTTAAAATTAAAAATATTTGCTTTCTTTTGTTGTTCATACGGAGAACAAATACAAATAAGAGAGGGAAGATAGAAACGATGAAAAGACAAAATACAATATTTAAATAAAAAAAGCATTTTATGTCACGTTTCGAGAGAACGAGAGAATGATAAAAATAGCTGAAACAAACGAATTTTTTAAAGAAAGCTTTAAGAAAGAGAAAAACGGTGTGATGAGAGCTGCTCGTTTCAACTCCTTAGCCTCGAATGTCATCTCCTTTTTATCTCAGTCACTGTGACTATTCATGTCACTGTCACGAGGTAAAAGACCACTTACGAATTATTCTGTTACAATTGGAAAAATATTAACATTTGTGCAAAATTTCTACGTTTGTTAAACTTTCTATATTCAAAAACTTCGATAAGACGAACTTTCGTAACTTGAAGCTTTTTTTGTGATTCAACTTATCAAAGCTTGATTGTATATTATAATTATAATATTATAAAATTCCACATTTTATTTTCATATACGACAAATCAAAATACGACACTATACTCAAAAGTTACTTATGATTGAAATATACGATGATAAAGTATACGTTTGTACGATTCAGTGAAGGGAAATATTTCAATATTTCAAGGATCTAAGGATACAATAGATTTTTCATGGCGTTTATCAAAGCAGTTTCTTGAACCAAGAAAGCAGTTAGATGGGATATCGGATTTGCTGACACGAAATCCTCGTTCTTGAATCGAACTCTAGGGATCGAGGAGATCCAGATTCGAGGTAAATATTGGAATCACGATGGATTTCTTGGATCGATCTATTGTTGAGTTTTTCGTTTAACGATTTTTATTCTTGAAAAACTATAACAGTTTTAGAACGGATTTACTCGGAATAATCTATCCTCCTCGTATCTTGGCCGATGTAACTGCGACAATAAATATAACAGTTACAATGTTCGAAAGATATTAATTTTTGTGAAACGGATTGGATACGGTTACTATATCAAAAGGGATATAAAGAAAAATTATTTATTATGTTCACTTATAACATTGTTTACAATGACTTTTTCATTGAATATTGGATTCGAAACGAAACAATAAAAAGTTGAATATTTGCGAAAAAACAATATGATCAATATTTTATTTGATGAAATATTTCATTTTGCATTTTACAAAAAAATTATTAGACTAGAGATAGAATTGTACAAACGTATACGATATATATAAAACCATTTTATTTATTAATTTATTATTTATGTTAATTTAACATTAATCTCACAACATTATAATTTCTTGAAATCGATAATAAATATAAAAGAATTTATTTTCCGATTCAATTTTTTTATTTATCATTATTTATCAAGAATCAATATTTATATATATTTTTGTATTTTATGTACAATTTTGAACAACAAGATATAGCTGTGAGATTGATGTTTTATTCAATTAATTCTTAAGCAATAATTATATAGCAAATAATCATAAATGATACAGGATAAAAAGGAGAAAGGAAGATATTATACTTATCTTATTTTTTTATCTTGTTTTTACACTGAAACTTTTGATATTTTCAAATGTATACCGTCAACAGGTTGAAGAAGAAATAGTGGTTTCTTGTCTTTTTGATATATTTTACGAGTTTTCTCGCATACTTCAACTTTGAATTTTGATAAAACTGTGGCCAGTCCTACCTTTAATTGCTTTTTTGCCAATCTTATTCCTGAAAGATTTTATATTTTTATTAAAAACAAATAACTTTTCTATATTTTATATTTTCTATATATTCAATAAAAATTAAAAAAAAAAAGTATTTTTACACAAAGTATTTTTATAGAAAAGCATATCTTACCACTGCAATGTCTTGGGCCATCTCCAAAAGGTAAATGAGCCATCGAATGTCTAGTTTTAATTTTGTCATTGGTGAATCTTTCAGGATCAAAATTATCAGAATTTGGATAAATATCCGGATCTCTTTGTATCGCATAGATTGGTAAAAAGACTTGTTGACCCCTTGGAATGGTAACTTTTGTTCCCGTAAATGTGTAAGTTTCCGTCGCTTCTCTCGACAACCATTGTAGTACTGGATACATTCTCAATGTTTCTAAAAAATAAACAAACAATATTCATGTAATATATGTTCGATGTATTCATGTAATATATGCAAATTAATAATACTATTTTATTATTGGATATTATGGTAAATATATATTGGAAAGACTTCAATATATTAATGAATAATTATTATGAATATAAAGTTATTTATAAAAATGTATATACATGAACAAAAGTTAACTTTAAAAATTAATTAATAATCAAATAATATATTTATAAATATACTTAATTAATGATGGAATAATGTTTTAGTAAAAATTGAAAATAATTATACCAAAAATACACGCTTCTAAATACTTCATTTCTTCCAAACCATCGTACGTGATTTTTCCGTCATATTTTTGTAAAATATTCACTATTTCCGCGCGAGCTTTCTCTTGAATCTCTGGCTTCCATGCCAGCTCGTACAAAGCATTGCTGATCGTTAATGAAGCATTTTCGAAGCCAGCAAAGAAGAATTGAACAACCTGTGATGCCAAGAGTAAATTGTCCGCTTCTGCGAATATAAATATAATTATATATTCTGTAACATGTTCAAAATCCATCAGAATTTCTTTTTCATTCATCAAAAAAAAAAAAAAAAATTAATAATATACACATACCCTATATGTATTATTTTCCTGATTTAAGAAGATTCAAAGATTTAATTAAAACAAAAAAATCATAAAATTTTGTTATGTAGAAATTATTATACCTTTAAGACCACATTTCGTTGGATTTTCCCTAACATCTGCCAGAATATCAATGACATCTCGTAAATACACATTGTTCTGGATTCTATAATCTATGGCGTCTTTTGTGGCATTTACAAAGAAATTAGTGACCTCGTGATCAACGAAGAAGCGTCCAAAGATTCTAAATAAAAAGGGATATTCTCTCAATCTATCGTTGAGAAATTGTTGGAGGTTTGTAGCGAGAGCTTGTTTGCCCATCTTGTGAAATTGGCAATTTTCATCTGTAAGTGCATTCGTATGAATACTGAAGGCACAAGCACCGATCACGTCAGTGGTAAATTTTGCAGCAGCCTCACGACACTCGACCACTCCTCCTTTTTCTACCATTTTTTCCAAATACTTCTCAAAATTATTGGAACATTCTACAAATAAATGGAACATTTCCTTCAGTTTTCCTGATGAAAAGAAAGATGAAAGTTTGAGTCTTAAGGGTCTCCATCTTTCTGCATCCAATCGGAAAAGTTGTTCGGATAATGGTTCAACCTGAAAAATTATAAAAATTTCATTCGTCATTATCTATTTTTGATACAATGAAAACAGAAGAAAATTTCACACGGATTAAATTGAAAAGAAATTGAAAAGAAAAATATAATGATAGAAATATTGATTATCTTTTTCTACTTTTTATATATATTCTATATATGATAAAATATATTATATGTAAGATATAAATTGATAAAATAAATAAAAAAAATTATTATAAAAATAAAAAATACTTTTACACAATGTTCTTACTAATACTATATTATGTAACTAACATCTAAACAATGTCGCAACTAATGAACAGATTATAGTCAAAATAAAAAAAAAATCTCAATAATCACGTAAAGATTAATAGTTATGAAGATAATAATTAAATTTACTTTTAAAAAAATCATGAAATGTAATACATTTCAAATACATAACAAAATTCCAAATATCATTCTGTACTTTCATCTTATTTTCATCTTTATTTCTTAAAATTTCTTTAACCATTTATCGAACATTCAATATAAAATTATTGCTATTTTCTATATTCATTCATTTTAGAATCTTTAAAAAAATTCACTTCATAACTCATTCTAATTGAAATCACACATAAAATTTTTCACTTATCTGTTTATTTCTGTGTATTTTATTCATTAATTTACAAAATATAAGTATTTTATTTTACGATGTTTTATACGTACCTCTCGTATAGCACCATGAGTTCTTTGAGCGAACTTGTTAAAATCTTTAATAAGAACGTCTTTTATTAAATCTAAATCTCTTAAAATTAACAACGGTTCATGACCTCCATACACTCCGATCATTGGCTCATCCTTGAACTTTTTGTACGCCCTTTCGAAACAATCCATGGTCGATTCTTTTGCCAGGAGTACATCTTTGAAATTACCCAGAAACGGAAGAGGCTTTGGCCCTTTGACGCCACGTTTCCGCCAATAATCCATCCTCGACATAGAATAATAATACAGTAAGAAAAATACAGTGGCGATTAGGCCAACAGTCTCTATCATTAACCAAGACATTGTATTTTATTTGTTTATTCTTTAAATTTTCTGTATAAAGATCGAATATACATATACACAAACACGGAACGGAAATATCTGCGAATAGAAAGAAAATAAATGAATAATAAAGTCTTTCAATCAATTCTTCAATATTTTTTTAACGAAACGTTCGCTTCGACGATGTCATCAAGAATGCGAACTTACTAATGTGCGAGCTTAAATATAAGCGAGTGTCGAAGTTTATCGAAATATACGGTGATATCCCTGTTTAAAAACGATGTATTTATTTCGATTCGCTGTAAGCATTCTTAAGCAGTGCCAATAACCATCATGTTTATTATTCTTTTATTATTTATACATGTAGACTCTAGATAATGTTTGCAGAATCTTATGAATAATATGTTAATTAGATTTTTGATTTTGAAAATTTAGATTCATATACACAAATTCCACAATCGCGAAACGCGATCATTCATTTTGACTCTGACCTATCTCCACATTGAATTCCATGTCCATTGAATATCCATATTGAATAAACAAGCGTTCTCGCGTTTGTATTATAATATTTTTAGCCTCAGAAACATATTTCCAATATCGAAACAGCGAGGCAACAAGTTGTTGCAAATACTTCGCCCCGATCGGAGAACCGATTCTTAATGGACACCATTTATATTCAACAAGAACCGGTGCTTGAGCTGAAGAACTTGAGCTGAAAGAAAAGATATACAGAGAATGTAGATACTCGAAGAATATGCATTTGGGAATTGCTTAGACATAAACCTGTGCGATAGTTGACGAGATATTTACTTGAAGCTGTCCTTTGATAGTTCACCACGATGCAGAGTATATAGGAACTCGGTTACGATGGAGATTCTGATAGGCGGCTCTTGAATAATTTCATGTTTCTGCTTCCCTGACTCGCGACGAATTTCATATGTTCGAGAATATTCGTTGAACTTTACTGAAATATTAAAGATTGTTTTTGATCGATAAGAGGAAAATGTATTAATAACGTAGCATCGAGTAAAATTGACGATCGTGATGTGTAAATTTTGAATGAGTTCGATGAACCGATTTAATTTTGTTAAGGGAGTGATAGATAGATTGTCAAATATTAAACGTTAAACAATTATGATAATTTTTAATTAGATTTTGTATTATTTGTTATTATAGGAAGTGATAGCGAATATAAAATGCATGAAAAATAATTAGAATCGTGTTTTGATATGATATCATAATGCATTATGTTTTTCGATGTTATAATGATATAAATATATTAAAAATGAACACAATCGACAAAAATATTCAACAATAATCCAATAATTTATTAATAATTTTCTCAGCTATCGTCTTACAAGTATCATCTAGTGGAAAAGGTCGATGAATAGGCAGAACCATGAATTATATCTATTGATCTCATAAGATCTCATAGATTGAGGCAAAACACGATTTGATAATATAAGAATAAGTATTTGAAAATATTTTATTTATATTAATAATTTCAGTAATTTAAATTATTGTAAAATCAATTAAATTATATTAAAATCAATTATTGGTAAACATTTTATTGTTTAAAGAAAAGGTAGATATATTTATCTTGTTGCAAAGAATGTTAATATTACTGTAATATTAAAATATTAAAATAAGTTTCGCTTTATTTGTAGATATCTATAATAATTAATATTTATGAAAAAAATTGAAATGCAAACATATCTTGCTTAGAAGAAATTTGAAATATCTCACTGATAATTAAATATCGAATTTCTTAATATTTATATAAAAAATACCAAGATGCATTCTTTTATCAGAAGAAATAAAATTATAAGGATTATCTGGGCAATTAGTATAATTAATAAAAAATAAAATATAAATTATTTTTCTATATATATATATTTTAAAATAGAAATAAGCGTTATGGAAATTTTTAAAATGAGCAAACTTACATTTAAAAAGATAAGAAATAATAAAAATAAAAAAAGCTATAAAAAAAAATTATATCAATATTTGGTAACGCGATTATTACGTAATTATTACGTAATGCTTTAATAATGATTAATGGAGACACTTGAAGAATTGTAAAAAAAAAAATATTTGCTAACAAAATATTCTTAAATAGAAATAGATATAATTTGTTATATCTCATGTTTTTTCATGTCTATTTTATATATATCACTGATGAAATTTATCTTTCAATTTAGTAATATAGATATATCTAATTTGTTTTGTACATAATTAATCTGTACGTTAAAAACATACAATAGAATATGCAAATTGAAGCACTAAATATTTCCTCTGTTTATTGATATAGATATAAAAGAAAAAAACTGTTATCATATTTCTTCTTCTTTATATATTTTTTCTTATATTTCATTGGAGACATTGTGTATACGTTTATTATCACTTTATTTTAGAATATATTTTATCGAATGTTGCACAATGTATGTGATTTCATTATAAGTATTTGATATTTGAATATAATATTAAATGAGAGGTTTAATAGAAAAATACATACCATATCAAACAAGAACTAGAATTGAAAAAAATTAGATGATATTATATTAGGAAATTAATGAATAATTAAAATGATAATAATAATAATGATATTATTAAAAATCGAAATTGATGTACGTATATCTATTTTTTGGCAGTTTTAAATATTAATTTTATTGGATAACAATTTGATCAAATGATAATTTATATACTACTTAATTTCTTTTATTTGTAAGATATTAATTAAATTATTATAATAATAATAATTATATTCTAAAATAAATTAAAAATTTTTAATTTAGAACTATTAGTTTAACAAAGCATAAGTTATAAATTATTTAGTGCAATTTTATTTCATAATTCTATTTCCCTCGTATTCCTATCTATAATTATTCGATCAAAAAATTTCGAATTTTGAAACACATTAATTAATAAAATACAAAGATTATTGTGGAGCATAATTTTAAAACTAAATAACATGAAAAATTAATTTCCTTGCATGAATATATTTAGCATTCTTCGATAAGATAGAAATAATTAACAAGAATAAATATTTTCACGGAATTAATAAAATATAAAATTCGTAAAATCAATTTGCCAAATTAATGATACAAATTCATAATTAATCTACCGTCAATTTACTTTCATAATTATGTCCACAAATCTCTTACCTAATCTCACTTAAAACTTAAAATTATATAAAATAAAATAATATTGATCGCTCGACATCATCTTCTTCTATCCCATTCACAAACTCCTATCCTCAATTGCACAAAAATTCCCTCAATAGGTAATCACAACAGATCGATGTATATTTAAAAGATAAATAAAAAAAACGCGTATAAAAATCTTTGATCCAAAATCGAGTATCAAACACCCCTTTTGCCGTGCAATAAAGGGAAAAGAAAGAAGCATACCTTGCGCTCCCTTTTAATGACCAACTCTGCGTAACGTAAATCGATACGCTTCGCGACGCAGCATTCATTTAATTAGCCAGGTTCAACTGAGGAAATAAGAATGAAAGGGAGAATAAAAAAAAAGAAAGAAAAAGAAGAAAAAAAGGGTGGTAAGAGAGAAGAGCGAAGAGGTATAAAAGGAATAAAGGGTAAGTAATCCGGTGGCGAGGAACGCGCTTCGTGTTGTTACGTCTTCCTTCTCCGTTGAAACGGAGCAGTTTAGAGCGGAAAAAGCGCGGTGGCGCGCGATGGTGGTTCGTTATGCCATCAAAGGGCGAATCGAGTTCCACTCAAGCACCGTTATTAAATGCAACATGCAAACGTGTTGTGCAACATTGATTTTCTCTAATTGCCCCTTGTTGTCCTGGCCCGCCATGGCTGACTTCCCACCGAGATCGTTATCGTAGATTGTCCTCTCCCGTTCCGGGGGGTTAATTAATATGCATTGTCATTTAATTCGTCCCCATTGTTGGTACGTGCGTGGAACGAAAAAACAAAAGGGGAAGGGTGGAAAACGCGGGCAAAATTTCATCAATGATTCGTCTAAGAGGAATCACGGACGAGGATTATGTATGGGGAATTTGCAATTTGTAAAATAAACAAAACAATATTTTCTTGATGTAAATGATTGCTTGTTTTGGATAATAACTTTTTTCTGAATAATTATTATAAATACGAATTGTATCATTATGATATCATGTATATAATATCATTATGATATCAATATGATATTATATATTAATTTTATTTATTTATTTTTTTATAATATGCTAATTTTAAATTTAGATCTATTAACATCTCTTTATAAATTTGTTATTTGTTTTTATTATTGTTATCATAACAAATATAATATATATATATAAAGACATTATACAATGAATTCAATCTAATATAAAATTTAATTTAATAAATTAAAGTGGATTTATAATAATATATACTTACTTATATATACTTACAATATAAACTGTTAATCAGTAGATATTATAATTATAATATTCATATTAACTTTCATCTGATTAATAAGATCATTTAAATACTATATAAATATTATTATAATTATATATTGTACATTCGATAACACTGGCAAAATTTCGCGAATGCAAAAGGAACCACTTTATCTTTCAATGCAAATTCCCTATTTCGATAAAATACTGTTTCGTATAACAAGTGGAAAATATTTTACAGAATTTATTTCAACCAATTGCGCGCACTTGTGATAAAGTATCATTTATTGCACGTAAACCATGCCACTTTGGCACAGATTATATCCGTTATCCCTGTAAATAATATTTTATCGAATCGTCTGCAATTGCACGAAATAAATAAGTTTTTAGTGCAGATAAAACGTATACGCTGGATGTTTAGGGAGTATATTGTATTTATCATGATATACACTAGACGTAAAATATCATTTACCAACCAACTTATGCGATATTCGCTGCATTCATTTTAAACGCAACATTAAATTGATATTTAAACAATTTAACATTTCATCTTAATTCTAAACTGTGCATTTTATCAAAAATTAATGAGTTTATATTTTTTAGATTGATAGATATAGTTATAATGGATATTTAGATGATATTTTTATAGCATCATAAAATGGTATAAAAGATTTGAAATTTAAATAAGTCTAAAATATTAAACATACCAATAATTTTTTAAAAGATATTTCCAGCTTATAGGATATATCGTAAAGATATTAGATAGATATGAAAATTCGTTTTTAGAAAATTGTTACCATTGTGTTAAAATATTTCTTTTTCTTTCTTTTTTTGCAACTGGAATGTAAAAATAAAAACATTTAAATTTGAAAATATATTGATTAATTTTAAAAAATATAAAAAATTGTGCATGTATGATATTTTTCTTCTTTTCTTCATATTTTTCCTTTACTATATATGCTATTGCCAGCTTTTACTACCGAAAATTGAATTTTTCTCATTTTCCATCAGTTTCAGACACGATCAAAGTATTCTATAAAAGAAAATACGCATATTAATATTATTTGTAAACATTGATAACATTATAGTTCAAAAATGTAAGGAGCACGTATCAAATATTGATAAGAGTAATCAGTAACGGAAAAATACTATTCGAGTTGTATTAACTGGTTTGAAAAATTTGATATATATATCAGATGTTACGTTCTGATGATTTCTTTTTGAGAAAAAATTATAATTTATATCAAAATATTAGCGATAATAATTCTTCTTATTATAGAATTTTTCTTTACCGTTCTCATTAACTCAAAAATAAAAACTATTTTTTCTTTGCAATAATCTTTTCGATAATAAAATATATAGATATTGTTTATGACTGATAAAATCAAGTTTGTCCAAATTAATCAAAATTTTTCGAAGATGTATTTTTTAAAAATAACAAAATAAATCTATAACTTGAATCTATTTTTACGTGAATTATGATATATGTATATTTGATTCGAATAAAATATTTTAAAAATTCTTGTAGAAATATCTAAAGACTAAACTAATCTAAAGACAAAAATCCGTAATGTAATTGGCAAATCACAATAAACATCGAAAAAGTAATAAATTTTCATTCATTCTAAGATAAATTACACTATGTTTGTACCAACATAAGATGAATCTTGTTTGAACTAGTTTAACATATGATTGCGTATCTAAAGGTTCACGAGGTTAATTAAACAAAATTTGATAATATATTTACCAATGAATGTAAGTTAAACAACATAATATATAAAAATCTCTTTACTATAGATTGAATTAATATCATTATATTATATGTTATTTAATATTTTATAATAATTATTCATCCTTTAATGGTAACTAGTTCTAGATTGACAAATCTTTTTTTTTCCCAAAAAGGGAAATATTATTACACATTATATACTATTATAATGAAGAAAAACAATATCTTGTAACAATGATTTTCACTTTTCTTCTTTATTGTACTTCTTTTTCATCCGAACGTTAAAATCTTTCTTTAACATTTTCAAACTTTTCAAAACAGAACATTCAATCTTTTGAAACAAATCATAAAGATATGATAATTATGAAAATGCGTACATGATAATGTGTTAAAAATTTATCCGATATATTCCAAGTTTTTCCATCTCGTAATAAGTATAAAGTTTCTATCGTAACTTGTAATTCACGGCATGGTACATTGTCATGTGACAACCAAGATTACACTAGTAGAACAAAGTTACGTGTTCGTTCCACACATATCTCCTCGAATAGTACTTCGAAAAGTCCTGTCTTCGGTAACCGAGTTTCTATAAATTTTGTATTTTAAAAATTCACTACTTACTAGGTCCAAATTCGCCGAAGAGCCTAGATACATTGATGCAAGATCTGAACTCCATGAATTATGCAGTGGATCCACGGTACATCCGGAGCTTTGCTTCGTATGAGTGCCTGAAATCCCTCCATAATGGAGTAACCGTACTCACAGAATAGATGTAAAACGACCATTATTAGTATAAACACTACCATATTTTGTCCAGATTAAATTGTTTCCAACCATCAATGACAATCAAGAATCTCGAACAAATCTCTAGTTATTGTATTTACAACCATAATCTTTAGTTCGTGTAACCATGAATTCATATGATTAAATTAATAATTTTATTGAATGATAGTATATCTTGTAGTAGTTTTTTCATGTATCTTAACATTTTTTTATCAAACTTCAAAATCAGATAGAATCAGATGTTTCACAATGAGATGAGACTTTTTTAATTTCTGTTATTCAATCTCAACTTGTAGGATGCTAGCAAAGCATTGTTTATTAACTTATGCTTCATATGTGCCAACGTCATGTATATGTGCAATTGAAGAGCTATTCTTTGTTGTACATACATGTATGTATACGTAATATATATATAAATAACGAAAGGGTTAATATTCACTACGTATGTATAACTGCTCATATGTTTGTATTTTATGCATAACTGCTCCTTCGATATTTATTTGCACGCATTGCAAATAATTTTGTCATTTTTGTCATGTCAATTTTTTCATTTCTTGATGAAATAGTCGAGATTAGAGTAAAATTACATAAGCGACATTTGATTGATTAATCTAAAAACATACATTTTGACTTGTCAAAACTTTCACGTGAAATACGTTTATTGATATCTATTGCAAAGTTGGATGAATCAATAGAGATGAATCATTAAAATGTTTCAATATTCTATTATATTATCAGCAATGATCTTGAGTATTTGAGTATGCAGACTTATTTAATTATTTTTCTATGATTCTTGAATTAACAAAATTAAAAAATATTCATATAAAGTTCATGAAGAAAGATTGATACAACTTCAATTTCTATTGAATTCGCTTACATAAGCACACTATCTTGTGCTAATATAATGATTCATATAATAATGCTATTATATATGAATTGTTATTATTTTAATCTTGAAAAATAATCTCTTGATCGTGGGAGATAATTCTATCAAGTATACGTTACAAGCACGCAAGTATATAATTAAATGTACTGGCACACCTATCGTTAATTTTACTGAAGCATTTTTTTAATTTATTGTTAAACATGCTATGAAATCTTTATATACTTTATAAAAATAATAAAAACATTTGAAATATTAATTAATGTATGCTGTCAAAAATTAATATTTATTTTGATATTTTCGTACTATTACATTTTGATAATTAATTAATATACTCTTACATATAAATTAATACGGAATAATACGATATCTTCAGATGATAACGTCGAATTTAATAAATAATGACCTTCGGGAAATGAAGATGGTAAAGCATCCATATTGTTAATTACAAACTTTTCTTGTTTGTAAATTCCCTGAAATGAAATAGATTTAATGGTTAATTAATTTCTTTTAAAATATTTATATTATAAAATTTGTATTCATCATAGTATTATTACAATAAAATAATAATAGTTTATTATTTAAGATATAAAAATATATACATTTAAAATTAATTCGTGTATAGAATATTTCAAAAAACTAATATAGATTTCTTTAAATAACAATATTATATAATAAATCAAACAATCT